TTTTTTTTTTTTTTTTTTTAAAGTGCTTTATCCAGCCCACTTCTATGTAGAAAGTCGGCCAGTTGTTTGTATGTGGCAGGCAGTTTTGAAAGAAGAATCTGTTTGAAATTTTGGTAGTTTCGGAAAAGAGAATTATCATTACGTAAGTTGTTATATTTGATACAATCAAATATGAGGTGTTCAGGAGTTTCTTTTATGTTGCATGCGCTGCAATTGTCTGATCTGTAATGCTGAAATTTGGTTAAATAAGTGCTACCGTACGTGTGTCCAGTAGCAATTCTGTTAAAAAGTTTTATGTCGTGTGCTTCTAAGTCTACATTTTTGTTTTTAAACCATGGCTGTTTTTCTTTGGGCGTACAAAATTCTACTATGTCCGGGTCCCAGTTTGGAAGTTTGTTGGTAAATTCTTGTTTGGCTTCAGTCCACAACATTTTGCTAATCCTTCTCAGTGCTTCACAAGGTGTGAGTTTTGGGGGTAAAGATTTACCATGGTCAACTGCTGTTTTTGCTGCTATATCCGCTTTTTCATTTATGGTAATACCCACATGGCTAGGTGTCCAGACTATTGCAATGTTTTCTATTTGGGAGTGATAAAGTTTGTTATGGATTTCAGCTACTAGGAAATTGTGTGTGGTGCGGCTTTTTAGGGCCTTAATTGCACTCTGACTGTCTGTAAAGATTGCTACTTTTTTACTATCATTATTAATGGCTATCGTGATTGCTTGAGAAAGTGCTACTAGCTCACCGTAAGTTGATGTGAAGTTTCCATCTATATTGAACAGGTATGAGACGTTAGCCGTTACCACATAGACTGCACAGCCAATTTTGTTATCTGACACCGATGCATCAGTGGCATACACTTTGAAACCTTCCTCTTTTAGCGTGTTAATTTTTTGGTTGTAGATAGCTCTGAGTTGTGTAGGGGTAACGTTCTTTTTGGACTGGGCCAATTCTGATTCGTAGCAGGTGAGGTTATGGTGTCTTTTGAAAGCTACATTTGTATCTATGGTGTTGATAAATGCTTTAAATTTTTCGTACGTTATGCTGTAGCTGGAATTTATGGGAGGTCTGTTCTGGATCTGTGTTCTAAGTTCAGGATTGATCAACCACTGTTTGACAAGTTCCTTGGCCGTAAGCCATACAGCTCTGGGAAGAGGTGGAAGTTCACAAGCCAGCGCGTATCTCATGAGTGTTGGAGTGTTTGGAGGAACTCCGAGGCATCTCCTCAGCGTTTCATTTAAATTGGTTTGTAGCTGCTTGTTATACCCTTTAGGGGCATTTGCATAACTGGTGTTGGCATATTCTGCTTTGGATCGTACAAACGCTTTAAAAAGATTTATAGAAGTTTTAGGTGAAATACCTGACTTGATAGATGTTAATTTAGAAATAAGGTTTTTACCTGAAGTTGTTGCTTTTTTAATTTCACTAATGTGTACCTTAATGGTTGAGTTCGCGCTAATTGTTCTTCCCAGCCATTTGAAGTGATGGACTTGTTCAATGTTTAGGCCGTTGATGGATACACTAAAGGTTTGTTTATTGTTTGCAGACATATACATGAATTTTGTTTTGTTCGGATTAAATTTGAGATTTAAGCTGTCGCATTTTGCCTGTAATTCTTCTATTTTGTTTTGTAAATTTAGAGCTGCAGAGAATCTGTTTGTGCCAGTGGATATTAACGCAAGATCGTCGGCAAACTGAAATAGTTGAGTCTGAGAGTTGTTAATTTCGTGCAGTTGGGCTGTATAAATATTGAATAGCGTTGGGGAAAGGCAGCTACCTTGAGGTAGGCCAGAGTTTACCTCAACAGTGTGATTACCTAGGGTCAGATGTCTTTTAGAAAAATAGTTGTTAATCCAGTTTGCAATTGTTGGGTCAATGTTGCATTGTAGAAGAATATTATGAAGTGAAACAAGATCTACTCTATTATAGGCGTCCGACATATCTAAGAAACAAATCATAGCATATTCCCTACATTTCTTTCTATCTGCTATAAGGTGTAGCATTTCGTTAATGCACATTGTTGCTGATCTCATTTTTCGATAGGCGTAGCTCTTCTTGGGAAGTCTATTGCTTGTCTCCAGGAACTCGTTCAGCGATTCTTTCACCATCATATTAATGCTCTTTACTACGACAGATATGAGTGAAATGGGTCTAAAGTTATTTATGTCCTCAGTGTTTTTGTTTGCTTTCGGTATTGGAATTACCTTTATTTGTCTCCATGCGTCTAGGACCCTGTTGCTGTAAAAATGTTCTTTTAGGGCGTCTAATAACGACTGTTTGGACTCAGTGGACAATTGCTTTAATGTATTAAACGTAATTCTGTCGAAACCCCCAGCAGTAGATTTTTTTTCTTGCTAATAAATTTTCGAATCTGCTGTATGAAAAGTCAACGCTGTTGTTGGCATTTACTGATGCAGCGGTGGTTGGAGTGATGACATTACAAGGGTTGCTGGCTTGTTGAGCTTGATTCCTTATCAGTTCTAAGTAGTTTCGGTCATCTTCAGCTGCCCAATTGTGAGACGCGCGCTTATTGCCTTTGACATTTCTTATGAATTTCCAAGCCTGTGTCGAGTTGGGGCAAGTGTTTATCTCCTCAATTTTACTGTTGTAGCTCGCTTTCTTTGCCGCCTTCACCGCTTCTTTCCAGTCACTAGTTGCTATAATTGAGGCTTCCATGTCTTCAACATTGTTAGTATGATTAGCTTTTTTGCGTTTAGCGACATGTAATCTGTACAGTTTTTTGAGGTCATCACTCCACCAGTTTTTAGGGGTACGCCTGGATGTGTTCAAGTCAATTTTAATCCTGTTCCTAACGCTGTCTATTTCTGTCGTGATGTTTTCTAAGTCAGAGAATTTTAACTGAGCAAGTTCCTGGGCGAGTCGTTCCTTGGGGATGAAATAGTTGGGCTTTTTGCTGCTATTGGTGACCTCAACGATGATGGGGAAATGCTTACTGCCTCCCAAATGGACTTGTTGACAGTGCCATTTTGTGTAACTGCTGTTAATGTTGGTCAGAGTTATGTCAATTGCCGTTCCTGCACTGTTACCGGTGCGGTGAGTGATTGCTCCACTGTTGATGCACTGTAGATTGGTGTTCCTGATTTCGTCAACAACTATTTTTCCTTTGGTGTTGCATATTCTGTCTCCCCACACTAGATGCCTAGCGTTGAGGTCTCCTGCTATAATAACGTTTTCATGATTGTTAAGAAAAAGTACTACACGGTTCAGTTCGTTAGTAAAATTTAAAGTGTCAAGGTTGGGAGGAAAATAAATATTGCAAATAGTTAAATTATTAATAAGATTAATCGTCTTGGCTATTAGAATGTCGTAATTTGAAACAAATTTGATTTTCGTGAATTTTATACCTTTTTTAAATCCGATTCCTACGCCACCATATCCATCGATTCTAGTCTTTCTGAGTAAGTTGAAGTTCATTAAATTGTGTTGAGTTGTATGGTTGTCATGCGAAAAAATTTCCTGGAGGCAGACTATATCAATGTTATTACTGGTGTTAAAGAAGTCTACATAGTTTTTATTACTTTTAAGGCTTTGTACGTTATATTGTAATATTTTTATTGGACTTGTCATCTTTGTTACTTGGAGTTTTGTCTTCAATGTGTACTGCGCCTATATTGCGAATTAGGTTAACCAAGGGGTCATTAACGTCAATGTCGTACCTTTTTATAAGGAGATTTACAAGCTTTTCAATCTCTGTGACCTTGGACCAATTCGGCATTTCATAGACGGGTTGTGTTTTGGTTGTAGCTTTCGGCAAGATTTTGGAATGGTTAGGTGTAGCTGTTGTGTGGGTTTGATGATTTCTAACTACATAATTGTATTTATATGTAGTGAGTTTTCTATTTACTGTTTCATCATTGTTGATCCTTGCTGTACTTTTTGCTTCTAACTGTGGAAAATTTCCCTCATAGTTTTCTAGAGCTGAGAAACGGTTATTATTGTTTAAATTGTACATCCCAATCGCCTCAGACTTAGATACTTTTTTTATTGTCATAATTTCGACCACCTGTTTTTCTCTAGCCCATTTTGAACATTTCCTGCTCTCGAGTGAATTGTGATTATCCCCTCCGCATAGTATGCACGAATTTGTGGTTTCATTGCATTTACTACTACAGCCCTCTGCCTTGCCACAGATAATGCATCTGTTGGCTGCTCTGCAGGCCATTTTTGTGTGCCCTAGTCTGCCGCAGTTGTAACAATGCCTAACTCTAGGAATGTAGTGAACCATTTTGATTTTTACGCAAAAAATGTCTATGGTTTCTGGTAGTTCGTTGCCTTCAAAACTTATTTTCACAGAGAGAGTTGGAATGAACTTCTCTTTGTCATTGGGATCTCTTCTGGTAATTCTTGAGATAGCTGTCACAGGAATATCTGAAATGATATTTTCTTTTATTTCTTCCTCAGTGAAGTTAAGAGGTATTTGTCTAGCAACACCAGTTGTTTCTACCAAGCTTCTTGGTATAAAAGGTCTCATTTGATTTTTAATTAAGTCGGGATTGCTAACGCACTTGTTTGCAGCTTCAAAATTTTCAAAAAAAATTTTGTAGAGTGATCTACCTATGGCTTTTATGTTTTTAATCCCCTCAATATTAAAATGTCTTATAATATCCCAAAGGAATAGGCCATTGCGCATTTTTTCGTTGTTTATCGTGTTGGATTTTGAGGTGTCCACCAGAACGCAATAATCTCCCCTGTGCCTTTTT